GAAGAATGGTCTTCAAAAAAACCAGCCCCTGGCATTAAAAAGGTTGGGTACCACTGTTAGAATTTCTGAGAGAATCTTCCTCCTCCACGTGTCCCTCCAGTTCCTGAAGCTGAACCTGTGTGTATGTGTGTGGGGGGAGGGTTAATTTATTTCTGATGGATCAAAAATGAGGCAAAGACACAAAATGATATGGAACAGTGCAGTCCCACTTATATCCAAGTTCATGCTGAACTGCCTTTCTGTGAGACCTTGTGTAGGATGGTGGCTGATGCTCTAATCCTTTACTTACATCAGCCTGAAACTATGTTCCCATGAACACAATGATATTTAATTTTAATTTTGTGCCACCAGGTTGATTTTGACTTATGGTGCCATTGCCAGAGTTTCCTGGTGTAGAGTACTCAGAAGTGGTTTACCTTTGCCTTTTTCTGGGGGCACCCTGAGACTCTGCAGGTTGGCCAAGTCTGCATAACCTGGCTCCTGAGCCCTTGATCTGCAGCTAGTTGCTCCAGCTCACTGAGTTATCCAGGCAGCTGTCAGTGATACTTACCTTTGAATAAACATACACATAAGGCTGTGTGGCATATCTGCATGGGTTCAGACTGCTACATACTGAAACAAAACAAACTTACATATTTCAAGCAAAGGGATTAGTGACTTTAATATACAAAGACTGGAATCCTGTTGCTTAGCACAGTAGGAGCACTGGATTAGACCCATCAAATAAGTAGAAACTTGGTGAGTCAGCTCCATACATTTCATGGATTAAAATGGGTCTACTCTAGCTGTAACTTAATATGATGAAGTAAATTGGACTGAGAGTAGATCATAGATTTCAATCTATGAAACTTACTAAGGAGCTGACTCACTGATTCAGTGGGTCTATTTAGTGCAACTTACGAATGATTCCAACAGAATTTCAGCCATAGTATCACTATACAGAGGTATGAGTAGCCTGACCTTCTGCATATTTTGGACTAAGAGATTCAGGCTCAACCCTCAACTGGGTCATGAAGTTCACTGGTTCTCTTCAGACTTCTTATTCTCTTTCGGCCTCACAAGGTTGCTGTTCTGAAGATCAAATTTAGAGGAGCAAGCAATATATGTTGCCTTGGCCTCACTGGAGGAGAGGAAGAATATAAATATATCTAGTCAATAAATGAAATATTTATTTGGAATAAATTCTATGCTGAATAGCCTTTTCCCTCAAAGAAATGTGCAGAGAGTTCTGCCTTGATTGTTTTAGGACAGTACTCATCCCATGTAAAAAAAAATTGTGAGATATCTGATCTAAAATAAAAGAGAGAACATGCCATGATGCTGGAAAGGACAGGCTTACTTTCACAGCCTTTCCTGATATGCAGGCTAGAATCAAGGCAGTAGAAATTGCACTACAGCTCCCATGTTCTCCTACTTGTGTGTGTCACAGATGGAAAACCTTAGACCCTCCAGAACCTCTGGACTAGCACTCTCGCAAATGTACTGTTGGCTATGTCAGCAGTTGCTTCTGGGTGTTGATGTTCTAAAAGCACCAAAATTTTCCCAACCCTTTGAAATCTGGTCTCACAAAATTGAAACAGTGTTGAGATCCCCTCTCTGCAACATTTATATGCTTCCCACTCTAATTACGTACAAGCTACCAGTTGCTTTTGTTGCTGGTGAAAGCCGGTCCTCTTTGGCTCTCTGTTGTCAAGGGAGAAGAAGACCTGGCTTCTCAGCTTCAGCCAGCAGAAGGCGACAGACACCACTTGAAACAGGCAACCAATCGCAAACAAAATGCATTTGAATTAGTACTGTTATGTCAGCCAGCAGCCCACGATTTTTGCCTGCTGTCAAGCACCTGTATGCAAAAATTATAGTGTCAAGTGAGCAAGAGCTTGTGAATCTGTATGCATACTATTAGTTGGAAAAGTAAAGTAGCTCACCGGTGAATCAGCCTTTTGAAGAGGGACTTGGTGTAAATGACACAAATTAAGGAATCCGGAGTGTGAATTACTTTCTTACCAGTCTTGGAGCTTTCTATTCAATAAAGTCTAGGTTTGTATTGGATGTTATAAATTGAGGTAATCATGCAGCTGTAGTCTTCCAGACATTCTGGCATTGCAACTGTCTTCTAGTTTTTACTAGTATAAGGTTAAGGATTATGAGAGTTGCAGTCCAACAGTTTCTGAAGAACCATAGCAGCCTATCCTATCTGATTTTTATCAAGCGTTCTCTCCTAGTTGGAACGTACGGTGGTATTTTAGTGTATTAATTTGGTTACACAGAATATTTAAAAATTAAAACCAACAATTAATTAAAGCAAACCAAATGAAATTTAAAACTATAATATACAATTATTTTAAAACATGGGTTGAAAACTTTACATTAGATTTCAAAAGACCTTAGTATGTCAGGTGCCAGCTAACTTCCTAAGACATTCTCTAAAAAGGTATGTTTTCAGCTGCTAGTATAAGGAAAGGAGGGAAAGGCACAGACACACCTCCTGAGAAGGAGTTTCCTACCCTTGGGCAGAGCCAGAAAAAGCCCTCTCTCAAGTCCTCACTGTACATGCTTTTGAACTTGATGGGACCAAGCGGAGGCCTTTGCCTGAGCTGTAATGGGGTTAGCACCTTATCCAAAAAGCTTAAAGGAGCTTCTAAATCAATAAATATATTGTTGGATTGTAGGTTCCATCAACAGAAGCCAACAGAGCTAATGATGAGTTATCACAGGAGACACAGTCCCAACAGCCAAGACTTGTCCATCTTTGTTTTGAATAAATATTAATGCCCCAAATTATTTCCAGAAGTATATTTAAATTGCAATTTTGCCTGTGATTTTTAATGTGTTAATTCAGATACACAGAATACCCCATCCTGCCTGTACATTGATCAACATTGATGTCGAAGGCCAGTTTTACCTGTGGCTTTCCTGATTTAGAAGCTGATTTAAGTGTTTTTGCTAAGGTGGGATATGGATTTTTTTTTTAAAAAAAAAGAGTTTAACTTGATGTTGCTGTTTGATCAAGAAAAGGACAAGAACTATAACCAACAAAACACTAGCCCTCTTCTGAGTTACTGTATAGCCATTCTTCCTCATTATCATTATGCACAATAGAAAGTTGGCTTCAGTGAACTGATGTGCCAGCAGATTCCTGCCTTGGGTGACACAAGGTGAAATAGGAGTTCATGCAGAGGAGAAAGACCTAATGCAGCAGAGACGTAACTGAAACATCATGTGCTGGGGTTGCACCCTGCCCTTCTGGGGCTGACTTTGGCACCCTGGGATTCCCCGGTTGGCCACAGCCTTTTCACCATCATATTTGGCCCTAGCATTCTAAACCTCTGGCACAAAGATAACTTCAGGAAGTCTTGGATCCTGGCAGCTTAGAAATATTTTCAATGCCCATTTATTCACACAGAAAGTTAACAATGAGTCCCCCCCACCCCCTTTCCTCCTGTGCCTTGATTTCCATGCTAGAGAAAGTATTACCTATGTGGGTTTGTTATATCAGGTTACTGATTGGAGTAAAAGCAGAGAGACTGCCAAAAAAAGAAATCTGGTAGATTCATCTGTAACCTTGAGTGGTCTGCAGGACAGCAAGGAGTTTTGTATAAGGTAGAACAGGGACTTGATGGCTGAAATGCGGTTTCTTAGTATATAGTAAGTTGTGCTAGAGGAGGTTCATTTAATTAATGGGAATTTGGTGAATCAACTCCTCTCTAGGTCTCCCTGATGCAAATTGGCCTACTCTAGTTGTGGCTAACTGTAGCAGGCTAAGCTGCAGCTAGAGTAGGTCTATTTAAATAAGCTGAACTTTCAGAAGACTTGTATATTACTTGTGGCACCTATGGAGGAAGTGACTCACCAACTCTAGTGCAACTTACTACACTAAGCAACAGAATTTCACCCTTTAGGTCAGGCCACCAAAACTCTGCAAAGCCTTTGTTTTTAAAGTGACCACTTCCAGAGGTGGAACCATTTTAATCTGTGAGGCCAAGTACAACAACATACAACAAGTCTTTGTGACTTAGTTATAAGTATTACTTATTTGCAGCAAAAAAAAAATAAAATTGTGGGCTGATGATTATGTGAACTCCCTAAGGAATCAACATTTCTATAAACAAAAGAAACAACCACTCTTTCTAAATGGGGTTCAGTAGATAGGTTTCAGATTCTAGCTCCACAGTCCAAACCTATCTGTTGTTATTTGGAAATAAAAGTCATTGAGTTCAGTGGGAGCTACTCCCAATTATGCGCATAAAATAACATTTATCTTCAAGATAACACAAAATTCTATGTGCCTGTTTAAATCTGATATTAGTCTGAAATCCATCATCAGCAGAGACACACATCATTATATGTAGACAAAGAAGACATATGTAGGATTCCATTTTGACTTCCTCAAAAAAAGAGATGAAGGGTAAGATGCAATGTGTGTGTGGTTTGTGCCATCAAGTCAGAACCGACATGTAACAACCCTAATAGGGCTTTCAAGGTGAGATATTAAAGAAGTGGCTTTACCAGTGATTTCCATGGCCAAATGGGGATTTGAACCCTGTTCTCCAGAGTTCTAGTCCACCACTCTATTCACTACACCACACGGGTATGCAATCCCAAACATCTTTTCTGACTACAACCAAAAAAGTAACAGCCACTCTTTAGCAAGGAACAAGCCCTCTGGTTGTTGCTGAACTGGTAGTACCATCCATCCTCACTACTAGCCATACTGGCTGAGGAGGGTGGAAAATAAACCCCAACAAGATCTAGAGGGCTCCCACGTCCCCCAGAAACTCTGCTGTAGAGCATGTAAATATGCTCAGGAGTCTTGCTGCTTGAAAGCATTATTAGCAAAATGCTATTGGACTTCCATTTGGCAACAGTTGGGTTCAAGGGTGAAACTATTGTTTAATAAATGAAATTCCACTTTGCAAACAGTGTACCCAATTAAATTAAACAGTCAGAATAAGCCCTGCCTTTCCTATTACCTATGGCTCCACCTACAAAGTTAGCCTTATCACCCAAACCTTTTATCAGCTGGCTCTGCCTCCAGCTGTTTTGTCTTGCCTCAGCCATTCCTGTGCCAAAGATGATCCTCCTGGGTTACCCAACTGCTCTTCTGATGTGTTCTTTCTGCTCCAGGGTCTGGTCTTTGGTTTCTCCAGATCCGGGACTTCTCTCTCAAGGAAAGGCTCAGTGGCAACAAGCCCGTGAGTTGGCTCGGCACCCTCGCTATGGTGCCTGTTGGACAAGGGCCTTGAGCCTGTTGGACATTGGGTGTAGGGAGTTGGATGAAGAGCAGCAAAGCCGCATTGCACTTGCCTTTGCCCATTGCCATCTTCAAAGGTGGGTTAAGTCTCTTGGGTGAAAGGAGAGAGTGTGGTGGAGAAGCGAGGGGGAACAGAAAGAGGCAAGAGCTCTGGGTTGAGTCACAAAAAAGTGTAGCCAGGGGCTGAAACCTAGGGGAAGAATAAGGTAGCTTCTTATAATTTGTTTTGGTGGAGATTCCAAATGCTGTAGCACTCTGGTTCCCAAACTAAGGGGAGATTCTACTCTGTGTGTGCACGCGCACAAAGGAATATGGGGTGGAGGAGGGAATGAGACTGAAATTTGTATGAAGCAATAAGTTTTTACTAGCTTAAACACATTTCTGGAACAGGTACTGTTATTAGATCTCAAGGTTTATCCAGATAAAGTTTCTGCTTTTTAATGTTATTTTCTTTTTAAAATGGTTCTGTTTATTTGCAATTCTAAATAGTGACTTTAATTTTGGATCAAAGCATGGTGGGTGACAGTGGAAGGTGTCAAGTTTTCTCAAATCAAAAAGGGGAAATGGGATGTCACATTGTTTGAGCATTGTCACTTTAACAGCAGTGTGATAAGAAGGCATACAATGGGATGTTTTCGCCTGTGACTTCACTTACGAACTAACCTTACTTTGGGAAATTCCAGGTGGGAGTGAGGGGAGAAACAGGAAAAACCTTATTTGCTATTGTTTTCAGATCACTTGTTTGTCTGTGTGTGAAATATGTAGGACAAAAGGGTAAGTTCACTGTGTAGCATGATGCCTATAGAATTGATTGCAGGGTGCAAGGGACGGAAACAGGAATGGGAGAAATCAACTGCACAGAGACAGTTGTTGGTGTAATAAGTGAACAGTGGAACTCCATGGGAATTGCAAATGGGGCTTCCTAATAAGATAAGGAGCAAGTCAGAAACCCTAGAAGAGAGAAGCTAACTAATGGGATTATGTTGAAGGAATTATTTTACCTGTTGGTTGGGTGTGTTTTCACATCCTTTGGATAGAGCTAATATTTGGTATATAATAATAGTAGACATTGACTAGGGGGCGGGGTAAAAGTGGGGTAAAAGTCTAATAATAAATAAAAATAATAAACCATTCCAGAACTACAAACTCTTATGCTTTGCTCCAGAGAGATGGCAATCTACATTTCAGCAATGAGAGGGACAGTGACACATTGCTCCTCCTATCCCTTCAGCAAATAGGAACTGCCCCCCCATATGTGTGTGTACGCACATGGAGGATAAAGTTTTGGGCCCCCATTTATTTCTGTGCTCATGCTCCTATTCCTTCTCTTTTTACCAGTGAGATTCTGCTTGCTACAGCTTAGTTCATATATTTGGTCTTCTGTCAGGTCTGGGAGGAGTTTTCCACCATGCGAGCCTCACAGCTCCATCCGTGACTGCACACAACACATGGACCCTGTGGCATTTGGGGTGTACACAGAGTTTTTCACCCATGCTCACAGTATCTGCTATTTCCTGCACAATGAGGCCTGGCAACAGCGAGCTCAAGATACTGTGCACAGGTCAGGATAAGTATCTTTTCTTCCTTTAGAGAAGCAGGAGGGAAAAAAAATATATTATGTAGGTATATGTATATTTCTATTTTGTGGAGGGCTGCCTTCTTTTGGATGTAATCTGATGAGGAGCTGCATCCTGGTCATGGGCAGAGAACAAACCAGTAGTAAGTGGGACCAGAGATGAAAATTGGAAACCAACCTGTTTCCCCCTTCAATTTAAGTAATAAAAAGATTACCATACTAACATCCATAGTCAGATCAAATGAAATAAAGAGGAAATACCAATTCTGTCATTCCAAGAAATAACAAAGAGCTCCATCTTTCTATAAGCTTCTTTTCAAACAATCATTGGGAACATTTGTATTTTTCTGCAAATGACTAATTTGTTTGCTTGTTTTGCAAATAGCTTCCTATTTCTCCTTTTTCTCTGTTGCTACTTACAATTCTAATCTAAGGGAAAAGGGCGGGGATATGAAAATAAAAGATTGATAGTACTCCCATTTTAGGGCACGGAGATCCTTTTCCAGTACAGATGTGCATAGTGTGCTATCAAAGTAGTTTTCTTTGTTTATCATTTATTTCTACTGGGTGTTTGGGATCAGTATTCTCAAAGCAATTCCCACTGATACAAGAAAGAGGGGAGGAGAGAGAGAGAGGTGGGGGCCTCACTTGAGTCTGACATATTAAAATAACAAAACAGATAAGGGAAGGGGGTTGAAGAAAAAGGTGGAAGTTGGAAATCAGTTTAATAATCACAGAAGTACTAATCTGTAAGAAAGCATCATCATCTGTTTGGGACTAAGCTTCTCTTTGCTACACCATGGTGTTCGTATAAAAAACAAAAGGTACATGACCATTGCCCCTTCTTCATCTGATCAAGACCTAGGCATTTTACCTGCCACCAAAGGCAAGTAAAGGTTAGGACAGAATTCTTTTTCATGGCATTGGAGGAAGAAGAAAACTTCTAGTCCTTCTCTGGCTAGAGTTGCAGGAGCCAGGATGCTTGCCTTGGCCAATGCTATGTAGTTCATTTATTGACTGGATGGAAATTGCCATCAAATTATTTTACAAATTAACATCCTGATATAGTGATAGTTCCATAGTCTCAAAGGATCCTCTGCAGGATGCTCTCCATAGTTGCTCTCCGACTGCAGTTACTCCATATAGGAATGCCATGGTTAAAAAGAACTTCTAACTGTGCTTCTTATTGTTGTAGTAGGTTTTTTGGGCTGTTTGGCTGTGTTCTGAAGGTTGTTCTTCCTAACGTGTCACCAGTCTCTGTGGCCGGCATCTTCAGAGGACAAGAGTCAGAACTTTGTCTGTGTTCTGGTGCAGTTTTGTGGGATAATTGAGTATTTATAGCTGTGAGATCAGCTTTTGTCCTTTTCAGGAGATTGGATGATTGTGGTGATCAGTGTGTTTGTTGTTGTGGGTGTATTGTAGTGATAAGGGGGAGAGATGATCTGTCACTTTGATTGATGGGTGTCCTTAGCTGGTCTTGTGTGCAGTGATCACCAGTCCTTGTGGCTAGGTAGAGTTTGTTGACCTTTTGCAGGCTGTATTTTTCAGTGCTGGGAGCCAGTCTTTGTTGAGTTTGGATCCCAGTGTAGTCCCTTTTATTAAGAATGCCATAGCAGGTAAGCAGAACAGCAAAAGGACAATATTCCAAGAGTTAAATAGATTTCTCTGCTTTGGAATCTTTCAGGCCATGTCCTTTCCTTGTTGCTATTGCAGATATGTCATTGCTTGGGATTTCAACAGTAGTAGTGCTTCTTTTCAGCATTCTGCTGGAAAACAGGCTGCAAGCAAAGTGTGCATCTAGTTTCCAGCAGAACACACTAGCAGGATACTTCCAGACAGTAGAGTCCAAAATGCTGCAGCCATATTAACTGGAGCTGTAGATCACATATTCCTTCCACCTCTTCTGCGTTATGGCAGCTCCACTGGCTGCCCATCCATTTCTGGGCAAAATTCTCAAAGTGCTGGTTTTAACTTATAAAGCCCTAAATGGCTTGGGTCCAAGCTATCTCAAGGACCATGTCTCCCTTTATGAGCCTGCCTGGGTGTTATGGTCATCAGAGGAGGCCTTTATCTCAGTCTTACTGTAACACCTTCACAAGTGCGTTTCGTGGGGAAAACCAGGAGAGGGCCTTCTCTGTTGCTGTTCCCAGACTCTGTAACTCCCTCTCACAGGAGGCCAGACTGGCCCCATCTTTACTGTCCTCCTGCAAGCAGACAAAGACCTTTTTCTTCGGCAAGCTTTCCCTTAGTGACTGGCTGCCTGAATGGGTCGGTTGTGCATTACTACTTGGAATGTCTTTTTGGTGTGGCTATTGTTTGCCTTTTTTTAGTATGGTATTTGTTGGATCCTTTATAATATTTGTAGGCTTACTGTATTTAGCTTTAATGTTGTCTTTTAATGATGTAAGCCATCTTGAGCCTAATGTATTCTCAAAGGCTTTCACGGCTGGGATCTGATGGTTGTTGTGGGGTTTTTTGGGCTGTTTGGCCATGTTCTGAAGGTTGTTCTTCCTGACGTTTCACCAGTCTCTGTGGCCGGCATCTTCAGAGGACTGGAGTAGGAACACAGTCCATGCTCT